TCCCTGATACAGCCACGGATAAATTGCGGACAATTTCATATTGATTCTTAAATAGAAGCTCAATTAGCTGCAGCAAATAAGGCTAGAGTCCTCCACGACTTTGCCAGCATTAAAAGCAATAAGATGGCCCGAGTTTTGTATCGACTTAACAACCTTCTCTCTATACGCATTCATATCTGACAAGTTCACCGAGTTGTCAAATAGCTGGTACTATACTATAATCAATGAAATAATACAAACAAAAATCAATTTTCAACTATTATAGCCGAAAAATATCAATATCTACTTAGCAATAATTACATTTCAATTATTTATACGTTTATAACGCCAATGACTCAATTAACTTTATATTTTTATGATGAAATTTTATATTTATTACGGCTTGCAATCCCAACATTTATAAATAATTCAATATTACGTATAATAATTACTCGATATATTTTAACGTTCAATTGTATGTAAGCCTCTAACTTTACGTAAAAATATTACAAAAACTTTGGTTACCAGTTACGTTATAATGTAATTATTTGCAACATTGTATTAAAAAAAAAAAAAAAAAAAAAAAAAAAAAAAAATTTTAAAAAAAAAAAAAAAAAAAAAAAAAAAAATATTGTATAAAAAAAAAAAAAAAAGCAATCGTTAGCCATTAGGTATTCATACGTACTTTAAAAACATTTCTCCACGTAATATTATCAGAAATTAAACGATCTTCTGTTAATATTACAATCATTTTCACCATATCACAACGCCTTATATGCCTTTTACCTTTTACTACATTCTTATCGTGACAATGAATATTCAAATAAAATGTTTACTATCAACAGTAACTTCGTATTAATTGTCGATTAAATTGTTACATCCTCTATATAATTACGAATATTCTTACAATTCTTTATGGAGAGTAAAAGTTTATAAATGAATGATGAATAATACAGAATGTGTAATATTAAATTTGAAACTAACTTATTTTCGCGTACTCTTCCCTATAATTTCTTATCATTTAAATTCTCATAAGTTTATGAAACGGAAAATAATATTCGACGAAACCATTTGAGAATCGCTGCCTAGAAATAATACCTCGTGAGAGTAATAAAATGCTCTTCCTACTTTCTAAAACGCTTTTCTCAATCCATAATTAGAAAATGGCTCGAATAACTCAGGAAGAAAAAATTAGCAAGAATTGTATAATAGGTCTAAATAATCCCAAAATTGAATGCCAATAATAATAATAAGAGTAATGTGATTCTTTATTACTATGGAGGTGTCGTAATTAAGGGATAATGTTATCGATTACTCTTAAAAATAATTGAACGTGCTTTACTACAGTGAATAAAGGATGTGATATACAAAGTATGCCGTAAGAAAAAATAAAATAATAAATCGTAGGCATTACTCGTATCTGCGTGCAAAGTACGTCGTATTTAGGATTTCCCGAGCATCGAGGAATTGCCTAATTATTAGCGACTCTTCGCTCCTCAACACTATTCCTATCATTTAATTATTATTAGCATACGCACGATTCACAAAGTACATCACAATCTAATTGGTCACGTGCTTTACACTTGGTACTTATTTTTTTACATAGGTTATGTGCACAACATGGATATATTAAAATTTGTTAATCGTCAAGATAATAAATATACCGATTTGTTCGAAAGTGTATTGCGCGATGAAATATTAAATACTGATCGGCAAAAGGTATTGTTTATATATATTAATAATCACATTAATGAACGGCAGTTTCATTGAATTTTATATTTAAGGTGGATAATGTAGAAAAAAGTATTGTAGCTGCTGTCAATGCAAAACTTGAACACGCGGCCACTCATTGTCAAGGCTTAAATTTACTTTCTAATTTTGTATGTAAGATAGATAAAGAAAGTTTGTCAAAGTACTTTCCATACTGGACAGGCAAAATTATACAAATATTAAGCAATGCGCACAGTGATTCCCAAGAATTGATATCAGTATGCAGGACTATCGCTGCATTATTTACAACTTGTAAGCAAATAGCAGAACTTGATAAGCGAATATCCATGTATGTTATTAAGCAGATAATAGGTATTATCAGTGAGCACTATTCTAAGGATAAAAATGAAATATTACTAAATTTGTTTGTTGTCTTATTATATCATTATCCACAATCGTGTGTGCGTTTACAGGTAAATCATTTTTAATTCATTACCTATCAATTTAATATATAAATTAAAACATGCTAAAGTTAAAGTTCCTAATAAAATTTTTTCTAGAATTGGGTATTTTAGCTTTTTAGCTTAGCATAGATATTGTGTATTTAATTAAAATTACCTTGTAACTTTATTCAATATGCACAATTTTTAATAATTTAAAATAATATAGAAAAGTCGAAGGAAAATATTCATTCGACTACTATTGTAAATCTTTAAAAGAGATTTATTTTAAGTATTTGTTTAATTTTTTAAATAAAATTTGTTATTAAAAATAAATAAATTGATATTTGGATTTTGAATATATGATATATATTCAATATATAATTTATTAATGTTGTTATCGTTCAAAAATTTGTAGAACTTCATGGTAAACAAAAAATTTGTAGAGATTCATTGATATAAAATATTGGAATATTCAATTAAATATAAATGAGTTTCAATTTGTCTTTTAGTTATTAAATATATAAAGGAATGAACCTAATGTATATTTGTATAATAATTACCATAAAATATTACAATTATAATACAGAGCGATATTAATTTCTTTATTATCAACTTTTTAAATTTATTGTATAATTATATTTAATGTTAATGCAATTAATATTAATAATTAATACGAATGTAATTTTTATTGTATCAAGGCATTTCTAAATCCAATTATTTCATCCTGTATCGATGACGATAAAAACAATTTAGTTATTTCCGGAGCGAAATGTTATTCCTTGCTAGTACGTGCGATCGAGCGTATATTCCTAAATGTATCAAAAAACAGTTACGCTGTCGCACATGATAATAATAGTGCAAGTTGTCACATTTTCTATCAAATAAATTTGTGCAATAATTTGCACATAATAATGAACGAGTTGTTCCAAGATCTAATAACAGTTAATTTTGAATTACCATATGATCTTCAAAATACGGAGTATATGCATATTATACAATTGTCTAAAATATCATGTACTGATATACTTGAATATTATATGAGAACAGAGAATAGATTTACTAATATTTGTATCTACTTGTCTACATTATTGAAGTATGTATATTTTTATAATGTATTTGAAAATAGTTTGTATTAAAAGTATATATATTCCACATACTTCAGAGTCGGTGGTAAGGGTGGAAAGAAGTTTGTTCTACCTAATGTAATACTGCAGGTAATATGTCAAGGATTATCTGTTACACCAATTAATTTAAATAAAGGTGACAATGAGGGTAGAAAAGATTTGTTATTACTAATACTGCCAAAATTACACATGGCATTGTTAAATGTTTTGAAAGCTTTAATTATTAGGTATGTAATTAATTTTTTTCAATAATTTACCGTTTTTATATTTACTTAATTTATAAATATTTAGTTTTCAACAGGAATTACTATCATTTGCTCTAACTATCCAACGTCTTATTATACAAATTTTAGAATGGACCCAGCAATATTCTCAAGAATCTTATAAAAATATTAGAGTACTTGCTTACAATATTTTATCAATATGGTTACAGCAAACAAGATCGTTATCAGGATTTCAACTGATAGCTGATGAGTTTCTGCCACACATAATTAAAGATATTTCATTGACTAAGGAAAATATACTCGTTTTAACTTCAAAGGTTCGTTCTCTAATCATAAAAATACATATAAATATTACACGTATATAAGAAATATTAAACATTTGTCGTTTATAGGCAAATAAAAAAATCACAAATAAAAATTTAATCGATAAAAATTTAAAAGAAAATGAAAATTTAAATCAATATGAAGCTGAATCTAGCAATTTTAATCGCATAGACTCAATTCTGAGTTTAAATGTTGTTTTAACAGTTCAATCAATTCTTTCGCATGCAAATTGTTTTTTAAAACAATCGTTTTATGACGTAAGTATTTTTTTCATTAATATGAAATTTGTTTCGAAATCCAATAATTCTTGTAAGAACAGTCAAAATGTACTTGGTAAATGTTATTTTGCAGAGAATTAAAAATACGGTGGTACTACTTTTGTATGAGCAATACATAAATAAAAATTCAATAACCGTCCATAAAGTTAATGCAGAATATCGATTACAACTTTTAAGAACTTTACGAATATTACAAACGCATGCTCATAGTTCGACACCTAGCCCTACCTCATATGCTATTCAAATATTTGGAATAGCCATTTCTCAAGAAAGTGAGTCAGAAATTATCGAGGAAGCAACTCTTGGTTTAGCTGAAATTCGTCACATAGTGAACCCTACAGCTCCATCGCTTATGTTGCCACTCTCTAAATTATCAAATTCATCCCCATCTTCCAAACCTTCATCGCCACAATTACTCCCTTCAATAGAAGATATGCATTTTCTGCAAATTGATATTAATCAAGATTTTAATAACGAGTGTAATGCTTCAATTGGGCTAAATAAACGACCAAGATTGGACGAAGAAAACTCTTATACTCGGACTTCCATTGGCACTGTTAACTCAAATGAAAATAAAACCAGTGAAAATAGTGCTTTAATTGACGAGGACAAAGAAATGATAACGTCATGCTGTAATGTGTCATCGTCCGATAATCTGTAAATTTTTAATAAATATAAACGCAATTTAAATACATTTTAATATTTTATACATTATTATTATAAAATTACTTAAATAGTTTAAACTCTTGTGTGTACTGTTATTTACATTATTTTCAATTTAATAACCATTCTGTGAGTTATAAATAACAAATATTAAAAATTGAATTTTTTCCTTGGGAAGCATAATTATTGTGTACGATGATGAATAACAGTTACTTAATGTGCTATTTCAAAAAAAAAAAAAATATTTCGCACATATGTGAAAATACAAATGCATCGGCGTTTTATAAGATTTAAAAATATGCAGTTTACAGATTTACTAAGAAGTGAAAGATCTATTAGTCCTAGGGATAGAGAGAATTATAAAAGGGTCGGTAAATAATGGAAAAGAGATTCATTGGATAGTTTGAATCGGTCAATGGTCCGAATTTTACATCTAGTTAGTGCACAATAAAAAATTTATCATTTTATCCTATTATACTTAACTTAATTGAAATCTATATATTAATTTATGATCGAGGCAATTCTCATAGCTACAAGTTTTACATGAATAAGTGGAGAATCCTTATTTTATCTACCGATTCGTTGTGAATTTTTTGTAATTTGAATGAAACGAGGGAACGGTATTTCGATAAAATCGAAAGCCTTGGATATTCATTTTTGTTAGGTATATAAGCGTAATGTATAATAAAATAAAAAGAAATATATAACATTTCAACTTTAATTTATACTTTATTTCGTTTAAGGAATAAATAATATTGCTAATATTCCATGATATTTGACTTTATCGCGTTAAATTATAAAAATTTTATATTAGTAATCGTAATTACTTTGATATTTAAATTTGGAATCACGAAAAATATAATTTAATTATACGCTATTTTTAGATTATGAGATATAAAAATTATAGAAAAATTATAAATGATTTTTCTTATTATATAAACAGATCGATCAATTTGTCATGAATTCTACATATAAAAACGTATATATTGAAATATTGATTTAAATATAATATATTTAAATAAAATAAAACAGTTATTTGTAACGAATTTTCTTGGTCAATATTTCAGTGCAAACATGAATTATTAAAATAATTAAGCCGATTACAAATATAATAGTTATAAAATAAAAAAATTTTCTAAATTAAATCAAGATCATTTTATAATAATAATTCATAAATTATAAAATATAAAACTTAAGAGGCCCGGCAAATTTTTATAATTAATGTTTTATCTTCATTATGCAATGTCCAAGAAATATTAATCATGTATTAATTAAAACAAACGATACAAATGTTCACAATCGAATTGCAGTGCTTTATTTGTAAATGCATGCATGGACAGTTAGTTTTTATATTTAGTTAATTACATCATAAATAATTATTGCAATAATAAACTTTTCGATAATTACTTCGAATTCACTTTATTATTTGCTTATATATCTCCTATTGATTTTACGAGTGCATATCATTAATATTGCTTACGTTAAGTTTATATATTATTATAGTATTCTTTTAGTCAATTATGAAATATAAATTGATTAATGTACTAGTTTTAACAATAATATTTCCTTATATTACAAATACATAATTTTTATATATAATTACTTGAAACGTCACTTTATTTTATATATTATTCTAGCTTCTACTTGAGGATAAAACTGCGGATAAATAGAAAGCAAAATATATATATATATATATATATATATATATATATATATGTATATATATGTAACAAAGAGATAAAAAATTGAAAACACGACTCTCCTAAAATACAAAATATTTATTTTTAATTCAGTATTATTATACATTGAAAATAACGAAAGCAATCACTTGTATATTTTGCATTGATAAAAGTTCTTTGTTACTCATACATTATTTGGAAAGTGCTATATCTAATCTTTTTAACATTAGAATTATAGTTTGTGTATAATATTATTTTGAAATTTCAAAGATTTTTAAAAGTCAATAATAAATTAATGTAAATTTAACATTTATTATCTTCAGTCACTTGAATTTTACATTAGGCAAAGCAGTTATAATTATTTAATTAATGAAAAAAGACTCGATTACAAAACGTATATCACTCTATACGTATAGTACATTTAACTTTCCAATTCGTTAATTAATAGTTTCTTTAAAATATTGATTTGGAATTTATATTAAATCGAAGGCGGAGAATAATTTGCAATTATTAAGTGCTCGCAAAAATCACATTATTTATCTTCCATTCAGCTAAATACACAATACCCGACATTTTTGTAAAATTTTTTTTTCATATAATTTCTAAATTTTTGTGTATAAACTTTTATAATTGATGTAAAATTGAAATTTAATAAAAATGGATAAAAATAAAAACTACGTTACTCATATACATTCAATTGATATAATATATCAGGAAGTAATAATATATGTGTTTTTGTTTAATAATAAAAGGATATCGAGTAGTTGAATTTATAAGATAAGAAAGCTGGATTTACTTTAACAGAAGGTCAATAAGTTTTTTTTTTTAGAGTGCTTTTACGTGTGCATTCCAAGTTAACGTCTTGTTCGATAAACATTATCGAAAAATAACATCCACGAGTCTTACCAAGCCTTAGAGAAAGCATACAAAGGTCTACCGTTCATGTATTGGAACAATGTACCTTATGGGTCATACATGCGATAAGGTCGTCGCTATTCAGTCAATGGTGCGAGCATCATATTTATCTTGTTCCCTAACCTTATGTTTATGTCTGCGCGTTATAAAAAGTACAAATTTTATCACATCAATTGAATTAATAGTATGTATTCGTAATTAAAATTTAATTTTTTTTAGTTTAATAAATCATATTGTAATTTTAAAAATTTGTATCAAGTATTCAAACAATACAAGTAGTATAGCCATTTTATTAATTACCTGTATAAATATGCATTTAATGAAATCAATTTTTAGAATAGAGTAGCTTTTCTCAAGCTTATTAATATTACATTGAGATTATTAAAAATATTCCATGAATTTTTCTTTCATATATATGTATGTATGTAGGTATGATGAGCTATTGTTTTCAAACAAAGATTGTTAATTATGAGCAAGAATTGGGTAATTTAAATAATGTATGTAATATATCACTGTATTATTATATTTTCATTGTAATTGTTATAAACAAATAGTATAAATATAAAATTTGAAGTATATATTTAGTCTTAATTTCTAAGTAAGTAAATGATTTTGAAATTAATAAAAGTCTGTGTAAGTTGTAATATTTAATTATTGCATTTTACCTGAATGCAAAAATTTTACCTTTAAAAGTAATGAACAATGTATATAATAAAAAAGAAATAATAATGTACCAATAGACTTTCACATCTATAACAATTAATCTCTTAAATTGCATATACTCTACGTTTATAAATTATCACTTTTTAGAATGCGAAATCGATCGTCTCTTTCCTCTATAAAATAAACGACTATTTTTACAATAGAAGAAAAAAAATGGCTTATGAAATAGGGTTGTGAAATAAAACAATTTGCATGGCATATAAATTCGTTTATTATCATTTATCTGTATAATATATTTAAAACAATATTATTCTACAACATTGCATAAAAATATACAAAGACATGAAAAAATGTCTCGACTCTCATACCATCATAAAGTGTGTGTGTGTGTGTGTGTGTGTGTGTGGGTGCGCGCGCGCGCGTGTGTGTGTGTGTGTGTCTGTGCGCGAACGCGCATGCTGTGTGTTCAGTTGCATATGCATATTTATTTGATCAACGCGTATGTATCATTATAATTCTGTATATTCTTCGTTCGTTATCGCTTTATTATCGCTATCATCGTTCATGTATTACAGCATTCAAACAGCAGCTCGAGTTTCTAACTGAAATCTCTTACCGCTTTTTGACAAATTATCTATGTTTTTTTTATTAATTAATGTATGTATTGTATTAATATGCAGTGTAAAGGTAAACCTTCGTATAAACAATGTCTAGCTACTCGAATTATACGGCCTCTACTCGCATTTTCGTTTGCACGCAGTCTGTTCCTTCCTTCCTTCTCTCTCTCTCTCTCTCTCTCTCTCTCTCTCTCTCTCTCTCTCATCGATATACACATCGAATCGTTACTTAGATATTTTGCACTTTTTAAAAGTTTTTTTGTTTTTGTAGAAAATTCAATATACTACGTGCATTTATGAAATAAGATATGAAATAAGGCTACTTAAGAAAACTTGTTTCTTTGAATTTCCGTTGGTCCTTGATTCGATGCAATCACATAGCGTATTCAGAATAAAGTACATGTATAAGTATAAATATAATGTAATATATAAAAACAAATGAGTAAACGAACAAACGGCGCATTGATGTCTTTGATTTTGCGAAAAAGGTAATGCGACTTGCGGTAGAAATCGTAAAAATTAACTATATGAAACTAACGATATTTACCATCGGGGAGCGCGGGAAATATCTACTGCATATACATTCATTTATCTACTATCCTTCGTATTTTCACCCACCAACCCACCTACCCACCAACAACATATACACGCGTACACACACGCACACACGCGCGCAAGCATATACACCATCATTGTCTTATAATTTTTTTGTTCTCCTACGCACAATCTATCAAACTCCTTCTTTTTAATCAATGCAAACGCAAACGCAAACGCATACACACGCGTGGCCCATTCTTAAAACTTATATAAAATATCGTAATAACGAAAGTAGAATAATAATTATAGTTTCATTATTACGATAATCTTCAAAATTTTCAATAAAATACTCAACTATATTCAAAATTTCAGTAGAATAAAAAAAAAAGAAGAAGAAAGTTACATACGTGATCATATTAATTTCTTTACTCTTATCATTTTCATTTCGTGAATAAATCTACGCGACAAATAGCATTCCGTTTTAGCGATGGACGTTAAGTAAAAAGTGCCAAATATGCGTGAGTTACCATTTCGCCAATTATGATGAAGCGACTCTTTCAATCACCATGATGATTCTCATTAGAAGGCATCGGTCTGACGTCATAACGTGAACCCCTATA